CTGGCCATGAAAATGGCAGCCCCCATCACGATCCAGTCACAATATTAGTGAACTGGGCCTGCAATATAATCATGTTGTATACTGATAGTTAGCTGTGGTTGTCTTTTCCCCTCTCCCCACCAGTGAGTGAGGAGGTTTTCAAATCTTGGTTAGTGGAGCTGTCATTCTGTGCTTTTCATCAGAATAATTATAGGCAGAATATATAGCATTTAATCTTCCAGATTTCCAGCAAAACAATTCAGTGCAGCTGAGAGGGAGGAAGAAGTATGTCAGCAGTGTCCCTTAAAGTTGAATGAAAAGTCATTTGTAGCATAGAACAGTGTTCTCTAATTAATTATAGAGTATTATGGATCCATCTATTATGAGGGTTATACATAGGGACCTACCTAACCACTGGCAATAGAAAGAAATTTTCAGGTTTGGTCATAGCCCAAAGAGCCAATTTTGCAGTCATTTTGCAGTGACCCCACCCCTCCGGGCTGATTGTTAGAGAGGCCCCCGAGGGAGGAAGGACAAGGGGAAAACCATCATCTTGATTGCTGGCTGCCCTTCGTGCCTCCCCCTTCCAGGCAGGTTGCAAGGCTGGGTCACAGTGGCATCAAGGACTGCTGGCTCCCACTGAGGAGCCAGTATTTATTTTTATTAAGGTTTGTTTTTTTGGTTGATTTCCTGGGGAATTGTGACCAATGCCATTTTTTGTGGTTTCCATAAAAATCACGAAAACATGATTTAAGTAGATCCCTAGTTATACATCTGCATTATTTTAGAATTGAGATTAAGATCCTTCCTCATTGAAACTTAGTCAGTAGATGATTGCTGTCTTTAAATTAGAAGTCTAAGATATTCTCATGTGTGGTCATTTCCCCACTTTTTTGGATCAATTGATCATATGACAGATGAATACTTGCCTACCTTTAGAAAAATGTAACTGGCATTGAGGTGCCTGTTCTCCACAAATGCTTCTTCCCCAGGATCCCTACTGTTGGTTCAGGTGCATTCCAAACCCTGGCATTATGTGCTGGTTCTAAAAGCTTTTTTGTCTTGCTAGCTCCTTTACTGCAGCATTTGCAAATCTCAAGGGTAGGATACATATACAGTGATTGCTTTTTAAATGTTTCTTATTTTATTTTTCTAAAAGGTAAGCTATTACCACTTTCGGCTGGCATTCCCTATACTTATAATTGTAAATACTGCTGTACTTGCTATTATTTTAAGCACTGCTAAGAAAGTACACAAGCTTTTTATTTAAATGCTAACTACTGTGCTGCCTTCGCCCTCCATATCTTTTTCCTTGTAATAGCTTTCTTTATTTAGATTTCTTTAGTTTCCATTTTTTTCCCCTCAACTTTTTATAGTTGTGTATTTTATGGGATTTTTCTGGTATATTTCAGTTTTAGAATTAAAAGATTATTGGTGTGATTTACCTTTCTATATGAGTGCTAAAAAGAATACCTAATTCTATAAGTCATTTTGCCCAACTAATGGGTATTACTAATGGGGAATGGACAGCTCTGCCTTCAAAGGCTGAAATCGGCATGAAGTGGGCAAGTAAAACTCTAATTGCCCATGTTTGCAGTTTTTAATGGAAATGTTCAAAGATTTCTAATGGGCATTTTTAGCTAGAGTGCTTCCTCATTTGGGTTGGGGCTAATGTATTAATGATCTCTATATACTATATGTTTGAGAAATCCCTTTCAATTTAATGTTAGGCTGCATTTAGTATATTGAATCTCCTTTCCCTCCCACCCACACCTGAGGTTACATACAAGAGCAAAACATTCAGGCCAGTACCTAGCAAAGCTTTGTTGCCTTGTTCCATTTCATCGTATTTGTAGTTTAGACCCCAAAGACCCCAGCAAGCACCTGAGCTCTTCAGCATGACTCCCTGTTTCACTACCAGCAATGGAAAGCAGATTTTTCACTTCTTAGTCAGGTAACAGGTGTTGTGTCTGCAGCAGTACTGCTAGTGGAGGGCTTTTGGTCTCATCAGGAAAAAAAAAAAAAACGGCGTGCTTCAAAGGTCACCAAACTACTCTCAGGTAAAAGCCCCGTCAAATCAAAATATCTGGTCTTTACAGGACTTAAGGCTTCTTTGCCCAAGGGAAAGCTGCAGTAAGAGCAGCTGTAGTATAAAATCCCCCTCATAAATAAGAATGAGTAGTTAATTTGAAATACAGATGAGTGGTTTAATTGATCTGGATCTCTGTTAGGCCTACATGTACAAAACGATTGCACCATAGTCTCTGTTATCAGGGTATGGTGGCAGAGCAATGAATTGTCTTGCTGTGGATTCAGAGATGTTAGTGAGGCCTTTCTGGACTTTCACCAAAGGCCACCCCAGTCCACCCACCTACAACCCAGCTGGTCTTTTGGGTTTAGGACTCAAAGGCAGCCAAGGATGATACAAGCTACATTGTTCCATTGTGTGCTACTGGCTGCAGAAATTGGTGTGTTTTTAACCACACAAACCTGATTAGCTGCATAAGTTCAATTGAACCTTTTCTAGGATTAGTATGTTTTTGAAATGTACAGTTAAAATTATTTTCCAATGCCCTTTTACCGAAAAGTAAAATATTAAACATCCTAGTACTATCTGAGAAGCAAGGATATTCTTGGGTGATACCTTTTTTTTTCAGACCAGCTGCATAGCTAAGAAAGATAAGCTTAGACAAGCTTTTGGTACAAGGTACCCTTCTGCAAGAAATGGCAAAGCAGATTTTTCTTTAAGCAGGCTTATAGGAAGGATATACCTATGATCTCTCCAAACTATACAGTTGGCCTAATAAAATAGCACCCCCCACAAATCCTTGCCTCTTGCACGTTTCCTGGACTGTCTCAGCTACAGCATCAATCCAACACTACCTGGGACTGTTCACCATTTCAAATATTGCATACACATGCCAATAAAACCTTGGAGAGCTTTCATACCCATGAACGTGATTCTTTTAGGAGTGGATGATGCACTTCACCTTCCTGAAAATTCTCTAGAGAGACTCAGAAGTTTGATGTGCAGACCAGCAGTACTAATCCAAACAGACAGTGACCTCTGCACATAACAGGAAGAAAAGGGTCAGCCTGCTGGGAAGCATGCAAGTTTATAAGTTAGTCAATTGTCAATGAGTCCTCTCTGACATAATGCCTCGCTAGAAAGTCCAACAGCAAATGGGTAGATCTGATTATCAACCCCTAAACAAAAAATTGGCAACATTTATTTTCATGCAGAGGCCTCAGACTAGATATCTCCCCCACAAGAGAGAGCTGCTTGTACACAAAGTTAGGGAAAGGAAAATCCCACTGGAGCAGTGTACATGTTCATCCTTTGGACAGAGGGATAGTAGTTTGGAGAGTTTGGACATGCCTACCTTCCAGGGACTCTGTTAAAGAAAGAAATTTGCAAGATTTTGGATCGAAGTTATTTATTAAAGACTGTCAGAATTTTTCCTCTGAGATATATACCAATATCAACCATAGCATTTCAGAGCTAGTATATGTCTTGCCATCCCAGCTGTGTATCTTCACCCTCTGAAAAGTACAGTTCCTCCCACAAACAAGGAAAATTAAAAATTATAGTGGGTTTTCTTTTTGCGTGTTTACTACTGTTCCCGAAGGAATGCTTGAACTGTCATATTAATAGACCGTCACCTTGTCTGTTTAAGGATATTTTCTTTTTATTTAGTAACTGAGGATTTATAAATAGTCTATCAGTCATTAGTTATTTTTCTAGTGTGTGGCTGTTTTTTCTCTTTAAAAGTATTTGCTGTCTTTAAGCAGTCATCCTGTAGCTTCTTGCATACAGCATACCCTATAGTAAATACACACCTTGTTTTGACAGGCAGAATGAAGGGGAAGAAAAAGGTTTTGCCAGAGTTATAGCTACATGGAGCAGAGACATAGCCTAATTTTCAACTTACTTGCCCTCCCTTTTTCTGCTTAACTAAAGCAGAAGCCCTGTCTGCTGCTGTAGACTGGTTTCCATGGATGAACATATGATTTGGAAAATTACTAAAAAGTCTCCAGGGCTTTGAAACAGGAAGGGAGAGACCAGGAGCAACTAGCGGACAGCAAAAGCTTAGCTTAATTAGTGAAACATAAAGACAGTTAAAAAAGAGTTCGTTATTAAGTGGCAGAAATCTTTCTCTGCAAGATTTCTGTGGCCTTTCTTTAAGTGGTAGCTGAATAGAAACAGGAAAAACATGCTTGTTTTCACTTGTAGATCAGATGTGAAACCACAAAAGCAGGTATGTAATCCTGCTTTAGAAATTTGAAAGGAGAGGTTAATAAGTCCATCCCATCTGGCTCCATATCTAAATACAATTCATATTGGAAGGGTACAGGAATACTGTCAGGTATGGCAAAACTTTTAGGTTTATCACTGTTGCTCATTTTTTTTATCATCTCCCCACTCTTTTGACAGTTCAAATATCATTCTTGTTTGTTGCCATTTTATTTATACCTGCTGCTCTGTTTCCTAGTGAGGAACAAACTAATATAATTCCATTCTACTTATTTTTTCTTCCTTATTAATATATTGCAGATTTTAATTTTCCTCATCAGTTCAAATGTAATTGCTATAAAAAGGAGATATTTAGATGTTGCAAAAATTAATATTAAGACAGAACTTGCCCTGAAAAGTTGCCTTTATACTATTTTATTAGTAGCATTCAGCTGATGGATTTGTTTCCAGCTAAAGAGGAAAAGAAGCTACCAGAAAAATTTCAGAGCCCTTCACACTTGTTTTTGTTTTCTTTTTCAGAAAAGTGGGAATAATAAATTAACAGTAGTGCAGACTTACAAAGCCACAGCTTGCACTGTATAATGGCGATTACAAGATTAGATATGTTAGTTCTGTTGGGAAGCAAGTGTTTTGCATCTTTTTCCAGATCTGAAAAAGCTTCAAAAAACTTAAGCTGCATTCTTTCTCTTTTTGGAAAAGAACTACCTGTGCTACTGGACAATCAGATCATATTGTTTATGTATGCTATCTCTTTCCTCACTTACAGAGGTCACAAGCGCAAGCTGGATGAAGATGCTGCTGCTAGTGAATCTAGTAAAGAGTCCAGCAATGAAGATGAGGAAGGAAGCAGTTCAGAGGCAGATGAAATGGCAGCAGCACTTGAAGCTGAATTGAATGACTTCATGTGACAGTCATCTAACAGTGGGGATTTGTCATTATGTTTTACTCTTCCTAACAGATCAGACTTCAGATGAGCCCCTTATATCAGTACTCAATGTTTTTCCAAAATATGTGTGTGTATATTTTGCTAAGCAACCCAAGAGGTGACATGTTATTTTACAGAATCAGAAAATAGATGTTTTTAAGGTGTTTTACTAAAGGAAAATATACTTTTTTAAAAAGGAAAAGTATTAAAGGGGATTTGGTGTGCTATGCCAAAGACATGAGCTCTGCAAAACCTTCACATACTGGATGATAATACAAAGGTTTGTGATTTAAACATACAACTTTTTAAAAAATACTGAAATGTGTGGTTTAGGAGTAACAGGCTTCAAAAGAAAGGAGATGGAATTGGTTAGATAATACAGTGGGAACCTAATGATGTGGTCATCCTTTTTTTTTCCACAATTAAATACTATCAAATATAAAGGATTTTTTAAATAAAGAACAATTTATATTTGTATAGGAAGAGAGAATGTGATATGCAAGCATTGTGAACTCTGCACTTGACCTTGACCTACCTGTTACTTTCTTCTAAGAGAATACATAATGATCTAATGTAATGTTTTTAAGTTACTTTGTGAACTAGTTGGGTTCTTTAGGGAGACCGTTTAGATTAACTTTGCCTCTCTGTAACCTGGAATTTTAGCACAGCATACTGTGTGATCCTGTACTGCCATAAGAAGCTTATTCACCCATCTGTGTTGTTTTTGGAAGGAATGAGTGCTACTTCATTCTAGATAGCATTTAATTTCTTTGAAAAGATATTTGATGTAAAGTTTTTGTATATTCTATTTCATATTTGACCCACAAAACAGATTTTCTTTCATTTAATAAAAATTCATTTTGTAAATCGTTTTCATTTTCATGGGTTATAAAAATAGATTAGAGTAATTCAGCTGGTTCTATCAAACACAAAACAACTCACTTCTTAAGCTTTGCCTTACTCTCTATGAAATAATTATACATATAATCAGAAACAGCAGCAAAACTTAAGTCTTTTTTTGAAGGTTTCAAATATCCTGTCTTACAGTGTGCCTCACCTTGTAATATTAGTCAAGCAGGCAAATACAGAGCAATTACAAAACAACTTGACCAAAAGACTTGACTTGGGTCAAGTCTAAAAATGAGCGTTTTATATTATTCTTTTCTTTAAAAAATGCAATATTATTTTAAAATGCAATGTTATTTTTGCTAAGATTCATGAAGAATATAGAAAATAAGTTGTATCCAAGGTGCAGATAATATAATGCATAGTAGAATACATACATTCAAATTTATTTGAAGAAGCCAAGTGCATTAAGTAGCATCTAAGAAGAGAGGAAATAATTTTAGTTATGTTTTTTTCTGATTTTTTTGGACTAGGGAAAAAATACATTTTTGCAATGCAAAATCTTATGTTGATTAGGTATATGCAAGGCACTGCAGCCAAATGATAAGAACTATGTTAAAATGAAATAACACTTGGATTCTACTATTTGCTTTCAGGTATCTAATTGTTGGATTTCAGACTGAATACATTGATATTCATCAGCCTAGTAACCCAGACAAAAACTGCCTGCTACCATATGTCAGCGATGAACTTTTAGCAGCTGTGTCAGGTTTAGTTGTTTAACCTCTTAAAGAGTATGTACTGAACTGAAAAATTTGCACCTTGTGATGGGAGTTGTACCAGTTGTTATCCACGTAGTATTATTTTAGCATCAGCTCCAGAACAGATTGCCTGTTCAGTTTCCTTTATTTAAAAATTGAGCATTACTGACATTGCTCAAGAGTTTGCTGTATTGTGTTTGCTCTAATACAGGACTGACATCTCCATTTGACCACAGGTTTTGCTGTGCTTGATAGCAAAGGGAAATTCACTTGAAGGAACTGTAAATAGTATATGGAAGTGGCACTGGAAGAGATCAATTTGATATAAGGCGCAAGGCTTTTATTTAAAAAAAAAAAAAAAACAAAACCCTAGGGATTACTTTTCCCAACCCTATTTTTTAGAAGCCAGATTCATGCATTTTCTGAGTAACTTTTGCTGCAGATAGTGATCTCCAGTCCCTAATTTCAAACCTTTTACTAAAATAATGTAACATACTTGGGAATTATTTTTCTGTCACATCCCCACAATGTTTTAAATGTGTTTGTTATCCTCTATCACAGTTATTCTCAGTGTTTCATGTGCTACAGACAACTTGTGGGGGGAAGTGGGAAAGAGAGGAGCATGCCTTTTGACCAGCTGTTTTTCACCATTGTTTGGTTTCCAAAAAATGTAATTCTGTTGCCTGTTGGTAGTCCATGGCATGGTTGTCGAAATCTTCATGGGCCAGTACAGATTAAGAAGATCAGGACAATAACCAAAATATCATTTAAAATGTAACTATTCTAACAAATCTGAAAGTCAGCAGAACTCAAGATTTTTTTTCCATAAAATAATTTGAAACTGTCCCCTCCATCCATTAACCTGCATCAGAAAGTTGTCAGAGACCCAGACCAGAGTATTGTCTTAGTGATGTATTAATTATTACCACTACTAACATTGATATATAATGGCTTTGAATGGGAAGAGGAAAACTAAAAATAGAATTTGAAGAAAGCTTATCATTAGATGCTGTAGTCAAGCATGCTATACCCCACTTACCTTCAGAACTGTTCAACTTCACTAGGATACAGAGGCTGATTCTGTGGCCACCCATGGTACCCACAGTAGATCGATGGGCACAAAATGAAAACTAGATATTTCTCCATACACAGAGCTTAAAACCATATTTTTCTAGTATGAGTTGCTTCTATTTTAAATTAAAGAAAAGAAGGAACAAAGTTAAAGACAGCATCATGGGTGTTACATCCTTAGTTTAAGGCTGCCATAACTGGAAGGAATAACTGCTCTATCTCCATAGCTCTCATAAATTTTAAGGCCCTGCATTGTCTTTCATACATACTCCAAATAGTGCATTCCTGAATTGAGTTTGCATCACTGATCTGCCCTATTATGCCCTCTACTGCTCCAAAATCTGCTTGTAATAATTTGGGGCTTTCACTCAGTCATCATAATCTCTTCTCCTTTCCCTCTGGTGCTGTAGTATTTTTTTTTAATGAGTGGAAGTAAGCTTCAAGCCACATGGCCTTTGTGATTATTTAGCTAGAGTATCTCTAGAGTGTAGTTCTGATGTGGGGATGGATCCACAACTGCTGCCATATCCTTGATTAAAGGGAAAGATCACCTTTGAGAAAATTCTTCCTGATGCTATGGACTAAGGACTTCCCGACCATATGGGAGTCATCTAATGCAGCAATGCTAAATGCTTTGACCTCACAAGTCAAATGAATGGCTCAGATTTGATCTGTGGGCCAGATCAGATCCTATATGCCAGGCTTCATCCATGTGTCACACCCATGTGCCTGGATTGGGCCTGTCTCCACCCAGCCCCATGTATCAGGATCGTGCCCCATGCTTTACACCCAATCTAGCACACAGGGCAACAGAACTCCCCATCTACTCATGGGCAGCCCCTGGGCCAGATGTGGCCAGCAGGCCAGGGATTAACACCCCTGTCCTAATGTCTTTTTCAAGAGGCTTTTTTTTCCATAGAGGTGACTAGACTGAATCACTCTGAAAAAGGAGTTGTTGTAATACAATTGTATTTATAGTCTTTTAAGAAGGAAGTGCTTCCCTCTCAAAATGGACAGCTCTTCCCTGCATGACCCAGAGCCAGAAGACATGGAAGAGAAAGATAGACAGTCCTGAATTTGGAGGATAAAATGGGCCTTTGCTTTGATGCTTTGGATGTTGCACCATCAGGTAACAAATGTGCATCTCTTTGACTGACCTTTATTCAACTAAATCGTGCTAAGGGAGTAATTGATGAACTAGCCATGAAGCAATGATTTATTTGCAGTTGTTAACAATTGGGAATGTCTTTTGTAATGGAAATAAGCTCCTTTAAAACTTAGAAGATAAAGAGGACATCAGTCTGGCTGTCATGGATACAAGGTAGTACTTTTTAATGCAAAGGTATTCATTTTGCTAGGTGAAGGTATTCATAAGGATCAACAGACCTTTGACAGGAAAAAAGCTACTTTCCAGAGTTTCATTATTTACAGAATAGCAGAGGATGTCACAAGCAAAGAAAAAGCAATGTTGGGGAATTGTTGGATATATTAATGTTACATTTTCAGTGCAAGATGCCAAGGACATTATTAATGATGGGAAGTATCAAAATGTTTTTTTATGAACAATCTTAGTTTTCTTTAAAAGATGTTCGCTGTGTGATAATCACTTCCACCAATATCCTGTTCAGAGAAATGCTCAATTATGCAATTGCCATATACATGAAGTCTAACATGACCTGTCCAATAAAGCAATGTTTGGAAAACACTGAATGCTCCTTTACATCACCTGGATTGTATAGAAAAAGTATCTACAAATCATTAGTAACTAATTTGTCTGGAAATGGGAGGTTATTTTCTTCAGAATAATTTTTAACTTTCAATTACCCAGACATCTCATGGGAGGATCACTCAGCAAAATCTGAGCGGTCGCAGAGCTTCCTCTCGTGCGTGGATGACCTCTACCTGACTCAAGAAGTCTATGGGCCAATGAGAGGCAAAGCGCTGCTCGACCTGGTACTGGCTACTGGGGATGACCTAGTCGGCGACCTAGTGATCGATGGGAAGCTGGGTGACAGCGACCACGAGCTGATCACCTTCACCATCCGCCGAAAAGCTGGCAAGTCGGTCAGCAACGCGCAAGTCCTTGACTTCAGGAAAGCCGACTTTGACAAGCTCAGGAGGCTTGTCAGTGAGGCCCTAAGGGACCGTGACCACAGGGAGAGGGGAGTTCAAGAGGAGTGGTTGCTCCTCAAGGGAGCGATCCTCAATGCACAAACTAAGTCTATTCCATCTCGGAGGAAAGACAGCAAGAGGGCACAGCAGCCCCCCTGGCTCTCCAGGAACCTAGCGGATCTCCTGAGGCTAAAAAGAAAGGCCTACAAAGGGTGGAGGATGGGAGTCACCTCCAAGGAGGATTATTCTGCACTGGTCCGGTCCTGTAGGGAGCAGACCAGGAAAGCCAAGGCTGCAACTGAACTCCAGCTAGCTTTGAGCATCAAGGACAATAAGAAGTCCTTTTTCAGATACGTGGGGAGCCGGAGGAAAAGCAGGGGCAACATTGGACCCCCGCTGAACCAGATGGGGCAACTGACAACTGACGCCCAGGAAAAAGCCAACCTATTAAATAGGTACTTTGCGTCAGTCTTTCATCAGCCCCATGGGACGCCCATGCCCGCTACAGGGCCGGGAAGTCCGGGTGAGGGTGATCCCCTGCCCTCCATTAATGCTGACTTTCTGAAGGAACATCTTGAGAAGCTGGATACCTTCAAGTCAGCCGGCCCTGACAATCTTCACCCCAGGGTACTCAAGGAGCTGGCGAGCATCATAGCCCAGCCTCTAGCACGGATCTTTGAAAACTCTTGGCGCTCTGGTGTAGTGCCCGAAGACTGGAAGAAGGCCAATGTGGTGCCTATCTTCAAGAAAGGGAGGAAAGTGGATCCGGCTAACTATAGGCCCATCAGCCTGACTTCTATCCCGGGGAAGATCTTAGAAAAGTTTATTAAAGAGGCCATCCTTAATGGACTGGCCGACGCCAACATCTTAAGGGATAGCCAGCACGGGTTTGTTGCGGGTAGGTCTTGCTTGACCAATCTCATTTCCTTCTACGACCAGGTGACCTATCACCTGGACAAGGGAGAAGAGATTGATGTCATATATCTTGACTTCAAAAAAGCCTTCGATCTGGTGTCCCATGATCGCCTCTTGGAGAAACTGGCCAATTGTCGCCTTGGGTCCTCCACGATCCACTGG